CGCCCGGCACCTGCTCGCGCCTCTGGCCAAGAAGCGCCCCAGACGCCTCTGCGCTCGCGGGCCGCAGGCCCGCGAGAAGCGGGCTGGCGAGGATGGCAGCCTGCTGGTCCGAGGCACTCGGCGCCCTGGTCAGCCCGTGGAGCACCATGGAGGAGGCGAAGCCACTGGAGGACACGCCACGCCCCCTCGACCCGCAACGGGTGCGCAGGCGGCGGAGGCGGTGCACCCTCGTGGTGGGCGGTGGGAACTCCGCCCGCGCGCCGCCCTGCAGCACGATCGGCCTGCAGTCGTCCAGCATGCTCTCGTGCATGAGCGGGCTGTTGCGATAGCGCTCGACGTGCTCGTCCAGACCCTGGGTCAGGCTCCAGCTGACGACGAGCAGCTCCTCGCCGGGCGCGCCCCAGCTGCAGCCGTCGAGCTCGGCAAGCATGCGTTGGGCGCTGTCCGAACTCGTGAAGCCCGCCAACCCCTGAGGTAGCAGCGTGGGAAATGTTTGCCTTGTTGGGAGCGAGCGAACGAACGACCACGACTGCGAGCAAGCGTCTGGGCCTCGATGAGACCGATCGGGTTCCACGGCCCCCGTACTATGCTGCCTAATGTGTCCGCGTTTGGGAAGGGCGCTCGGGGAGTTCCGCGAAGGTGCCGAAGGAATGCCCGGGAGCGCGGGCCCACTAATTAAGATGGGCTCGACACAGCCAAAAAGACAACGCGGGAAAGGCCACCCGGACAGCACAAGGGAAACCTGCAAGGGCCAAGACAGCCAAAGCTCGTCGTCCAAAGGGGCACTGCTGTGGGACACGTCTGCACCTCCTCACAATCATTCCCTGGCAAATCAGCTTTCGCGGAATTCGGAAGGGAGGGTTCTCATGCGGGCCCAGGGAATGCACGAGAGCCCACACCCCCACATAGAGGAGCTCGCGACGGCACGAAACGACACAAAAATGTCCCAGGAGGGCCCAAGGACCAGGAAGGGAATTCCAAGATAACCGGGAGAACGCGTTTCACGAGCGCTTGCCTAGGGAACATTCGGCAGCGCGTTTCGAACCCGGGGGTGGGCCCCCCCCCAACATTCGGCGCCGTCGATCAAAACCAGGGGGGCTCCCCTCCCCCACAAACCTCCCCCCTCCCGAACACCCCCCCCCTCGGCACAGGCGCTGGCGGCCGCCATCAGCGCCCCCGGCGGGGACGCAGCGACGATGACCAGAGGAAGCCCAGGGGGGGGGAGGGGGTTGAACCCCCCCCCTCCCCTGGCGCCGGGAGGGGGGGGGTTCAAACCCCCCCCCCTCGCGCCGTCGCCGGTGCTGGCGGCGGCCAGCAGCGCCAGCGCTGGCGCCGGCGACGGCGGGGACGCAGCAACGGTTACCACCACTACCACCACCACCACCACTACCACCACCACCACCGCCTCAACCCACCACCACCAACAGCAACAGCACCACACAACCATCACCACCACCACCACAGCCACCACCACCACAACCACCACCACAACTCACCATCACCACCACCACCACCACCACCACAAAAACCCACTACAACTACCACCACCACCACCACAATCTACCACACCACCACCACCGCCACAACCACCACCACTACCGGCAGCACAACCAACCGCCACCACCACAAACCACCACACCACCACCACCAACGCCACCACCACCAACACCACACCAAACGTCCACAAATAACCGCCACCACCACAACCCACCAAAACACAAATCACCACCACACCACCACCACACCACCACAACCACCACCACCACAACTCACCATCACCACCACGACCACAAAAACCCACCACAAGTACCACCACCACCACAATCTACAACAACACCACCACCACCGCCACTCCTACCACCACTACCAGCAGCACAACCCACCACCACCACCACCACCACCACCACCACCACCACCACAAACCACCACAACACCACCGCCACCACCACCACCACCCCAGCACCACCTCCACTAACTACCGCCACAACCACAGACCACCACCAACACCACAAACCACCACCACACCACCACCAAAACACACCACCACACTACAACCCACCACCACCACCACCACCACACCACAAACTACCACCAAACCACCACCACCCCCACAGCCACAACCACCACCACCACCACAACAAACCACCACACCACCACCACCACAACCACCACCACCGCCACCACCACCATCACCACAACCCACCACCACCACCACCACCACCACCACCACCACCACCACCGTCGTCCTCGTCGACGCTCCCCGCCACCGCCGCCCGCCGCCGCAAGCGCCGGCGCCAGCCCAGAAATGGAAATCGCCGTCCCCGCCGCCGTCGCCAGCCGCCGCCGACGCAAGCGCCGGCCCGAAGAGAGGGGAAGCAGGGGGGGGAGGGGGGGGGTCGAACCCCCCCCCCGTCACGCGAGGGGGGGGTTCCGGTTTCAACCCCCCCCCTCCAAGCGACCACAGAACGCGCGCTTTTTCAGATAACCCACAGGGCCCCAAGAAGCGCAAGAAAGAGCTCAAGAGAGAGTGGCCACAGAATTTGCCCAGACTCAGACAGCACAGGGAGGCTCCAAAAGTGCCCCGAGAGAGCCCCATGATGACCCAAAGAAGCCTCTGGAGGGACCCAAGACTCCAAGACGGCCCAAAACAGCAAAACAGCCTTGAGTAGCAGCTCAAACGGGATCAATTAGGGCCCCAGGATGGCCCAAGACGCCACCCGTCAACCCAGCAAGCCACTTGGATAAACCCCAACTGGCTTAGACGGCCCAAAAGCGGCTGAAGACATCAGCTGGCCCTGCGCGCTTGGCGCGGGGACTTCTCCTTCCTTCTCTTACTTGCCCTCTCTCCCCCCCTACTCCTCTTTCCCCTCCACCCAGCAACCATGCAGTGCAAGTTCTCGCCCGGCGACCCTGCGACAAGGAGGCGCACGGGAGGCGGCCTCGGTAGAAGGCAGGCCCCCGCGCGCACAGGCGGTGGATTCGCTGGACTGCAGCTGCCTGCTGCTGCTGAAATTGCCAGGCGGGGCGGAATCTGACTGCTGGTGGAATTGCCAGGCGGGGGCGGCCACGAGGGGGGCGTCCAAGAGGGGGGCGTCCAAGAGGGGGCCTCCAAGAGGGGGGGCGCAAGTCATGGCCGGCGGCACGTGCGCGGCCCAAGGGAAAGCCAGGGACGTATGGAAATAAGAAGAGGCACCATGAAATCTGGGGAGGTATCATGGCCCCCACCATGATATCCCCCCCGCTAGTCATCGCCCCCCTCTTTGGCGCGCTCCTCGAGAGGCACATTCGTGCAACTGTCGTCTCGCACGGTCGCCCGCGGCGGCAGCCGGAAATAAGAGGGCAAGAGCGAGGGGGGAGGCAGGGAGGTGAGCAAATGCAAGAGAGAGAAGGGGGAGGAGGAGGAGGAGGAGGAGGAGGAGGAGGAGGAGGAGGAGGAAGAGGAGGAAGAAGAAGAGGATTGCTTGAAATGGTATGGCTTGGGGGCATCTGAACCCCGATGGTGCGACCAGAGGCCTGGCGCACCACCATGGTATGCCACTCGAGGACAGGGCACTTATGGAGCAAAACGATGCGATTGCTGGAGAGCTTCCTAGAAACCCCACTGGCTCTGGAGGAGGAGGAGGAGGAGGAGGAGGAGGAGGAATGGCGATAAGCTAGCGGAGGGAGCGCATGTCCGGCCGTGTTCACGCAGAGCCTGGTGGATCCAAAAGCCAAAAGTACTCAGAGTCCTTGGTCCCCAAGCTTTTCGGGCCCAAGATGGCCTCACGAGCGCCGAAGAAGGCAAGAAGATGAACCACGCAGGATTGGCCAGAGAGCTCCCCAAGACGCCCCACGAAATCCCCACCAATGGGGCACTAAGACGCCCCGAGAGGGCTTCTGAGGAAGCCCAGGAGGGTCCTGGAGACAATGAAGAGAAGCCCAGAAGGCGCCAGGACAGCCGGAAAGGGCTCCCGAATCCCTCGAGACATCCCAAGACGCCCCAGAGGGTCCCAAGGAAGCCCCCCGATAGCGAAGGATGCGTCAGCAGGGCCCTGAGACGCTCCAAGAGTCATTGAAGATGTTTGCCATCCCCTTACCTGTTTACTGTTTCTATCTCTCTCTCTATTTCTCTCTCACTCGTTCTCGCTCTCTCTCTCTCTCTCTCTCCCCCTCTCTTTCCGTATACATATATAAACATGAACAAATATGTACATCGATGTGGATATATCTATACATATATATATGTATATATAGAGAGAGATCCATACATACATATGTATATGCATCCCTCTCTCTATCTCCCTACATTTAAACAGATACATGGCAACACCTACACTATATCCCCCTGGCCCCCGAACCTCATTGTCCCCCTTATCCTCCTCGCCCTGTTCATCCCCATTATCGCCAACGTCCTCGTCCTCCTCTTCCCTTCCTCCTTCGTCCTCTCCTTGTTCCTCCTCCTCCTCATCATCCTCATCATCCTCATCCTCATCCTCATCCTCATCATCGTCATCATCATCATCATCATCATCATCATCACCATCACCATCACCATCACCATCACCATCATCATCATCATCATCATCCTCATCATCATCATCATCATCATCATCATCATCATCATCATCATCGGCATCATCATCATCATCATCATCATCATCATCATCATCATCATCATCATCATCTAATCGTCATCATCATTATCATCATCATCATCATCATCATCATCATCATCATCATCATCATCATCGTCATTCGCATTATCCGCCTCTTCGTTCTCGCTCGCTCCGAGTTTAATGGTCCCCAAAACGCCTGCAGATGCACACCAAGCCCTAGATATGGATACGCATAAATCTGTGCGAAATGTTCAGCGGGTGTGGCCTCAGCCTGAAGAATTCACAAAGGCGTAACCGAAATTCCGGCACTTCACGAAGTCGATTGGCAGGTAGAGAAAACTCGCCAACCCTGCATTAGGGTTACTGCCGGTTGAAGTATCGCCCCCCCCTCCCTCTCAAAACCACTCCACTGGGAGACCGTCACTGCTAATCTGGAGGAGGGGGCCCAAGAGCCGGGAGTGAGCACGAGCGGTGCCAGGGTGGTGCGTGGGCAGTTCTCGGGCGCCCGAAATCGTCCGAGCGAGTGGCTGCAAATTGGCGGCCCCAAAAAGCGACAGGCTGCCGCCAAGATCGCGCAGGCTGGCCCAACTTGTTTCCAGGTAGCCTCCAAGAGAACTCGAGGCAGCTCGAGGTGGCCAGGGAGCTCCCCAGGAATGCACCCGAAATGCCAACGACATGCTGTCCGCCACGGGCGGTGCCCACCCAGGAGCTGCTGTGAATCGCTCCGAGGCCTAATCCGTGTGGCTCTTCTGTTTGATGCCTTACGCAATTGCTTACGCGTGGTCGTTGCGAACTTTGTGTATGTGTGGTCTATGCGCACGGTCTCCCATGAATGTGACCTGCGATAAAGAATACGACGGCTTGTTCTCGCAGGCCCATATGATACGCAAGTGTGCAATTTGTGCGTACGCTCGTTATGACGACTAGCATGCTACCGATGTCTGGTATGAACCTTTGCTGCTTCCATACGCACGTCACGTGAGCATGTTATTGCTGGTCTGGTACTGACGGATGTAATTGACGCCTGGGTTTGGTGTATGATCGATGTCCGCGATGTGTCAAGTGATAGCGAATGTTCTGGACACCTGATATTGATGTATGCTAGGTCTGCATTTTGCGATGCCTGCTATTCGTGGATACGGTTGACGTGCGCCCTGGGGGTGTGCTGCTGGTGTCTCTTATTGGTATGAGCGCTCACGCCGCACGTTCGTGATGTGTGCTATGGTGTGTGTGTGTGTGATAGTAATGTATGTTCGCGGTGTCTGCTGCAGTCGAAAGGCTGTCATAAGGAACCCTAAATAAGGAGCGAGGCCAATGATTCCATAATTTAAAACTTCGACCCCCCACAGAGGAACCAAGGAACACCTAAGACAGGCTGTAAACAAATAAGGAACATTGAGCCCCTTCCCAACGAAAAGGGTTCTTTCTTCAGCGGCCCGACTGCATTGATGCATGATAGATCCAATACTACAACCTCCTCCAAATCGAGCGCAGGCTTTTAATGTGGGTCGACGCGCGAAACGCGGCCCACGGGGTCCGATGCTTATGCTTGCAGTCGCCAATGCCAGCGCGGTCATGGACACTGTGGCGTCCTGGGGCGCCGGCACGTCGCGGGAAAAAAACTTGCGTTTGATTCCGAGAGGGGGAAAGAAGGTTGCGCCAACGTCTTGGCGTATCAAAACATATGTGTAACACCAAGACGCTGGCGCACCCCGGAGCACTGCAGCCGCGGGGGGGTGCTCCCAAGGTGCTCCTGGCCCAGGGTGCCCCCGGGGTTTTGCTCCATCTGGGAGCCCCGTGGGGCCGGCTGGGCCTCGCAAGGGGTGCTCTGGAGGCCGCGGGGGCCTCCCTGGACATCCTGGGGGCACCTTTCTCCTCCTCCTCCTCCTCCTCCTCCTCCTCCTCCTCCTCCTCCTCCTCCTCCTCCTCCTCCTTTGGGCTGCCGGGGCACCTCTGGCAGCACCCGATCGGGGCGCCCCCAGGGCTGCTGGGGCCTGGCGGCCGCGATGGGCAGGGCTGGCGGGCGAGGGGGGCCCTTCTCGGGGGGGTGGCGGGCGGGCGGCCGTGGCGTGCCAGGCCTCTGGGCGGGCGGGGCGGGACACTCTCGGGACCCTGGGGGCGTCGCTTCCGGGGCCTGCGGGCCGGGCGTGCAAGACTGGCGGGCGAGACGGGGTGACGGGGGAGATGTCGACCCCCACAGCCGGCCAGTATCAGAAGGATGCGCGGTGAGGATGCAAGGGCCTCGGAGGCCTATGTGAACGTTTGTCGAACGAGGTTGGCCAGCGAAAGTCGCTAAGGATGGGCCGAAGGGGTAAGGATGCAAGGGCACCCTGAGGAAGGTTGCCCATCCTTCATATGTGGGTTGACTGTAAAAGGGGATCTGTCGACCCCTATCCCAGCCTTCGTTGAGTTTTCAAGGTGGACCAGAAAGTTGGGGCCCGACCCTGGGATATACAAAGGGCGGCGGCCATCCTCGATAGGGTGCGTCCGGATAGCCCCCTTGGGGTGTATCCCAGGGTGTCTCTCCTATTCTGAACGGCTGCACTTGTCGTCGACATGTCGGGGGCTGGGGGAGAAAAATCGCATGCAACGGGACACTTAGGACACTCAAAACTGCTGAGGCCTTGCGTCCGCGGCGGTGCGCTGTGCTGACAGGCGGGCTTCTTCTGAATATTATTATTAGTACTATTATTCTTATTCGTTATATGGTGCGTCTTATTATTATTCTGAGTATTAGTCTTACGGGTCGTAGTATTCATAGCATTATTCGTCTCTTCCTTGTTCTTAAATAATAGCAGCCCCAACCAGTCGGGTTGGGTAACTTGTAAATCTAGCAACGTGTTTGCTTATCTGTCCGTTTTCCTAAGATGGTATCAGGAGCGCTTACGAAGACCCCAAGACGGCCACATAACGCCCGAAGAAGGCCGTAAGACGAGAGAAGAAGAGACCAAGAGGGCCCCTGAACGGCCCAAGAAGATCTCCACAGATGCCCAAGACGACTCAAGGCAGCACCGAGACGGCATTATCGATCCCCCACAAGATACGCTGCAGATGGCCCAGAGGGGTCCAAGAAGCTCCCAAAAGGCCTCAACGCCCTCCAGATGCCCCCATGAGAGGACCCCAAGGCAACCCAATAGAGTTTATTAAAGGGGGGCGCTCCCACGAGGTCGACAGCACCATGAGGGTTTTGCCAAAACGCACGCACCCCGAAAGCGTGCGACAGACCCCGAAGAGAGGCATCCTGGGCCCCCATTAGACAGGCAGAAGTGGCGCAAGCCAATATATCGTACTGGCCAGCGAAGCCTCCCGCGTCGAGGTGTTGCTGGAGCTGGTCACGCGTGAAGTCGAGGGGGATGTTCCTGATTGCCACCGTCGTCTTCGGCTCCTGGCTCACCTGAGCGACAACCAAAACTTGCCTTGACTTACGCACGAGTGCATTACCGAGGGAACGAAAACAATTGCACATGTACGCCCTCCCACGGTCCCGCTTGCACGAATGACCGCGTCCAGACGCAAGCCAGCGGAAGCTGACCGCGCACCTGTGCACGTCGTCAGCCTCTGACTCACGCGCGACCTTACTTCGGCAACTTGCGCGCGAATGTCCGCGCAGTCGACACCCCCGTCTGAAAGCCGCTCGCCTGGTCCTCCACCTCCACGCTCTGCTGGGCCAGGTCAGCGGGACTGCCGAGGCAATGGGCCGCCTCCTCCTCTCTCCTGAACGACAAGACTGGCGCAGACAACGCCCTCTTCACGGCCGTCTCCGGGGGCTGGTTCTCCTCCCCCTCGACCACTTCGATGAACGTACCCCTCACGACGACGCGAATCCCGGCGCGCGGCGCCTGAAAACTCGCTGGCGCCTCGGTCGGCGCTGGCATCTGCACGGAAGCGAAGAATACCGGCGGCGCCCACACGGGGGGCGGCGCGAAGCGTGCGGGGTTCTACAGTCGGGGCGTTGACCTAAGGAACACTAAACAAGGAACGAGGCCCCTGTTTCCATAAGTTAAGCTTCGACTTCCTGCCGAAACCATAAGGAAAGCCTGAGGCAAGCTGTGAGACACTTGAGGAACGCGGAGCCCCTCCCCAACGAAAAGGGTTCCTTCTTCAGGGCCCCGACTGTACGAGGTCGGGAAGGCGAGGGCCTTCTCAGAGGGGCCCGGCGGCTTGCGAATCGGCTTCATCGAAGCCGGGAGGGCCTCGGCGAGTGCGCCCGCCTGCCTGGAGGCCCCCGCGCACTCTTGGGTACGAGGCCGCCCCCCCCCCCTCGCGCCATGTTACCAGCCTCGAGCTCATCCCTAACCCTAAGACTGGCACGCCAAAAGGCGGCGACAATCTTAGGGATGCGCCCTCCAAAGATAAGGGAGCCCCTAAGATTGGCTTCGTGATGAGGAGATACCCAGCATAGGGATAGGGACATGTTCCAGGCTGGTAACCATGCTCTTGCGGGCGCCGCCAAGGGAAGGCAGGATGGTCCAGTGAAGCAAGAGTTGGTGCGCACGCCGCGGGTGCCGGGTGCGGCTGCCGCGGACGGGGCCCTTGAGCGAGAGACGGCTACGTGCGCAGGAGCCGCGGCAGCAGCACACGGACAGGTGAGGCGGCGGGATGCGTCCCGCGCGAGAGCGCGATCTTGAATCTGTGGGGAAGTACCGGGAGGGAGCCGCTGTTGCTGTAAACCGACGGCCATGGGCACAGTCTGAGGCGCAAAACTTCGCCCTGTAGACAACAGGGTGCGAGCCCTGGGAAAGGCACTCCGAGTGAAGAGACGCCATGAGCACCGGAGGCGAGGCGGTCAACAGTAATGATTCGTCAGAGATGAGAACACAACAATCACTTTGTTCGTTCTGATCTGTTCGCGTATCGCTCAACATGTACACCTGAACCGACAACAACAACCAGCAACAACCAGTTCAAGACTGTTCGCTCTAATCTGCTCGCGTGCCATCTTGAACGTAGGTCCCAGAGCCTCGATGCGAGGGTCAACAGCTACAGTGTCGGAAATGAGAACTCAACATAAAGACAAAAATGCAAAGCACGCTGCCTGCAAGGAGGAAAGGCTGGTCTATACTCTGTAAGAACGGTTTTTCGAAGGCAGACCTGCCTTCGAAAAGAACGGTTTTTTGAAGGCAGATCTGCCTCCAAAAAACCGTTCTTGCAGAGTAGGCCCTCCCTCGAAGAGTGCACGCAGGCGGACGGCCTTCATCCACCGGTGGTTGTCCAGGCGCTTCTCCCGCGCCTCCCGCTGCTCTGGCGTCTCGGCCTCCTGGGACGGCCGGCGGGCTCGCTTTGCCGCCCGGGCGGGCGCGGGCGCGGCCAGCGCTCAAGGGGGGGGGGGCTCCAACTCCCCCGTGCTCCTCCTCCTCCTCCTCCTCCTCCTCCTCCTCCTCCTCCTCCTCCTCCTCCTCCTCCTC